CTACTTAGTTCCACATTCAACAAAAAAGATGTTTTCTCACCTGCTTCCTTTTTGAAGAAATTAATTTATACCTCTTGGTGCAAAACCAAAACCCTCAGAGGGGAAAACACATCAGGTATTGCATTCAGATAAAAAAGCAACATAAATTGCTCCTGTTTTTTGCTATCTAAATATGTAAGGTCGAATCTACAAAAGGTGCTGAAAATAGTGGTGGCAGTATTTTATTTACAGCAAATTGGGTCAGTGATAAGGAGTGGCAAGCAGGTTTCATCAGCATCTCAGTAATAAAAAGGAGATAATGCTAAGGAAGATTTTTCTGACATAGTGAATATGCCTGCATACAACACTGTTTGTCCTTTTCACAGTTTAAGTGAATTTCCTTCACTTCAGAGTGCCACCAGTAGTGGTAATGATCCTACTGTGAAATGTGTTTTTAGTTGCTGCTAAAAATTGCTCAATTATAAAGGGCTAGACTCTGATGCTCTTACTCAGTTTTGTAGTATGTTCCTGTGGGGAGCCCCATTACTGCTTATCACTAAAGATGTACTACACACTGTGCATAAGGGTATTGGAGTCTGACTGAGAAAGGGACTAATAGCACTGGGCTGGGTGAGCAAGGGCATGTGCTGTGCAAGGTCCCATCTACAGCTTCACAAGTACACATCTGCTCTGTTCTGTAATTCTCCTTTCCCACTAATTAGAGTTATGCTACACTATGCAGTGCCTCCATGGTGTTGACAGATGAGATCACCATAAACATTATCTGTCACTTGAGATCTAAGTCATAAATTGAACCCTGGGCTTTCACAGTTATAAGATAGAGAAGTTAAAGTGAAATCTCTAAATGCAGCAGTTAAAATGTGGGTGGCAACAGCAGTTTCCTGAAAACAGCCTGGTATAATTGGCTACCCAACTGCAGAAGGATGTATTTAATTCTCGCAAATTAAAGTACCTGAGGAAAAAGAAATTGTGATCAAGGAATAGATGGCATTTTGTCTCTGGGATGATATGAAGTGAACAAATACTCATACTAACAAGGTCACCCCCTGTGTTTTGACATTTTCTTTGCCTAGAGAGGGGAAATGGTAATTCTGTTTAACATGGAGACAAGAGATTTGAAATCTGCTTTATAGCTTGAAAACACAGGCAAATAAAGAGCAGCAGAGAGATTGAAACAGTCTCTCTTGGAAATGAAATTCCATCTGCAAGCTTAGTAATGTGGTTAATGAGACTTAACTATTTGTTCTTGCTTTAAAGTTCACATCAAGTTTAAGAAATTTGAACAACTTTGATAAATGATTTCCTCTAAACATAACTAAAACTGAAGCTGCTTCCCCTCAAACTGCTCTATTTGTACAAATTTTAACAGCAAAGTAGACAGGTTTCAAGGGAAAGGTGATCAGAGCAGAAAAATAAAACAAGGTCTTTCAAACAGTTCTGTGACACTGTGTTGGTTTGTCTGACCTGCCAATATTCTGCTTAGCCAGGCAGTAGTTGACAACCCATGTGTCTGCTTTAACACTTTGGCCAATTACAACTGCATGGTGATGTAAATAGGCATTGAAATCAGTGACTATAAACAATATCTGAAAGGAGAATCAGGCAAAAAAGAAATAATAGTGCAGTGCAGTAATCCCTCTGCCTGAGAACTTGCTGATAGACTTAAAGCAGAGCCATGAATATAATGAGTTATGAGAGTAGGCAAAGAGAATTCACAAAGAATCATAGAAAATTAGGGTTCAAAGGGACTTCAAGAGGTCATCTAGTCCAACCCCCTCCCCAAAGCAGGACCATTCCCAACTAGATCATTCCAGCCAACCCTTCTTTTTACCCTTCAAATCCCTTCCTAGCTGCAACTCCAATTTCTCTTTGGCCTTCCTTTTTATCCCTGCATGCCTGACCAATGCTCTTGTACTCTTTCATAATCATTTGTCCAAGTTTCCACCTCCTTTAAGCTTCCTTTTTGTGTTTTTAGCTCATTGAAGAGTTCTCTGCTAAGCTGAGGTGGTCTTCTGCAATATTTGATAGTCTTCATGCACGTCAGGGTGGTTTGTTTCTGCACCCTCAGTAAAGTAAAACTAGCTATCCTGGACTCCTTTCGTCTTTAGACTGGCCTCCTAGGGGATCCTGCCCATCCATTTCCTGAGCGAGACACAGTCTGCTTTTCTGATGTCCAGGGTCCTTACTCTGCTGATCTCTTTCCTTCCTTTCCTCAGGATCCTGAACTCAATCATCTCATGGTCACTGCTGCCCCAGATGCCATCCACTTCTATGTTCTTTACCAATTCTTCCCTGCTGGGGAGCAGCAGGTCAAGAAGAGAACAGTTCCTAGTTGGCCTCTCCAACACTTCCACCAGGAAGTTGTTCCCAACACTTTCCAAAAACTTCCTGGATGGCCTGTGCAGTGGTGTATTGCCCTCTCAGCAGATATCAGCTTGACTGAAGACCCCCATGAGAACCAGGGTCTGTGTTCTGGAAACTTCCATTACCTGTTTAAAGGAAGCCTCTTCCACCACAACATCACCCTTGTTGCTCTCCCCTCTAACCCTAACTGAGAGACTTTCAATAGGCTTGTGTTCAGTTTCAAATTGGAGCTCTGAGCAATCATACAACCCTTTTACATGAAGTGCAACTCCTCCTTCTCTTCTCCCCTGCCTGTCCTTCCTGAACAGTTTATACCCACCCATGACAGTGCTCCAGTCATGCAAGCTATCCCACCAAGTCTCTGTTTTTCCAATCACATTGTAGTTCCAAAACTGTGCGAGGACATCCAGTTCTTCCTATCTGTTTCCCAGGCTCCATGCATTCGTGTACAGACACCCAAGGTAACTAGCTGATTGCCCCACTTTCCCAGGAAGAATGATGAAGGCCTCCCCTGTTACCCCCTTCTACTTATGCCTCCTCCAAGTCACCAGCTTTCCCACTTACCTCAGGGTTTTGGTCTTCATCTCCTGACAAACCTAGTTTAAAGCCCTCCTAACTAGGTTAGTGAGTCTGTTTGCAATGATGCTTTTCCCTCTCTTTGTTAGGTGCATCCCACCTCTTCCTAGCAATCCTTCTTGGAATAGTATCCCATGGTCAAAGAAGCCAAAGCCCTGCTGGCAACACCATCCATGCAGCCATGTATTGATATGAAGAATGTGCCTACTCCTGCATGGGTCTTTCCCCTTGACTGGAAGGATCGAGATCACCACCTGAGCCCCTGTCCTCTTCGCCCTTGGACCCAGAGTCCTGTAGTCACTTTTCATCTGCTCAAGGTCACCCCTAGCAGTATCACTGGCTCACATGGATGAGCAGCATGGAGTAGTAGTGAGAGGGCTGGATGAGTATCAATAATCCTTCCATGACATGTTGGATATGGGCTCCAGGCAAGCAGCAGACCTCCAGAGACAACAGGTCAGACCAGTAGATGGACTCCATCCCCCACAAAAAGAAATCTTCAACCACCACCACCCATCACTTCCTTTTGGTGGGAGTGATCTGGAAACACTCAACCTTGGGGATGCTTGGCCTGGCCTCCTTCACCGGTGGAACATGCTTCTCCTCCTCTGTTGCTAGGGCTACATATCTGTTCTCTAGGTAAACCACTGCAGGTGGGGATGAAGACCTCTGCATGCTGCCAAAGGCACAAGCTTCCAGGTTCTACCTTCCTGGGAGCCCACCACTCACACTGCAGGCAGTCCCCCACCTGGATGTCACTGGAAGGAACCTGCAAGCCACAGTCTCCACAGCAACAAACCAGGACCTGGGTGGAAGCCTTAACAGTGGGTGATCCTGCCTGCACAGACACCTCATAAGTGCAAGCAGAGAAAAAGCTGGCAGTAGCAGTGACTCTGGCACTGTGATGTCCTCCAGCCATCTCTGGGTCTCTTGAATCTGCTGCCTCTCTCTTCCTGCCTGCAGAAGTCTGAGGCTGTCACAGAGAGAGGTGTACAGTCAATCTACCCCAGATTTGCTAATTCTCTTTGGTACTTGCAGAGCTGACCTGAGCAGAGTGCAGAGCTCGGGGCAAATCAGCCCATGTGGGACCCCGTTCCCACTCTGGTCCCATGTGCCCTAGACGCGAAGAAGCTGCCACTGCCATTGGCAGTGGCAGTGGCGGGAGGTTGAGGTGGCGAGCAGCTGGATGTGAAGCCAGCAGTGTGGAGTCAACACAGCCACTCCACCCAGCCTGGGGTGGTCATTTTGATTCGCCCCCCTCCACCCCCCCTCCAGGGGTGGCCCTGGGTACTCCG